GGAGGGGAATCTTACCCCTCCCCTGACTGATGCGTCTGGCAGCTCGTGGAGCGGAGCCATGTTGCTCCGCTTCTCCCCCTTGCCTGCTGGTGAGTGCAGGGGCCTGACCACTGCTGCAGGCACCGGGCCCCCCAGAGGCTCTGCCCCCTTCCACCTGCAGCGTTTGAGGGGCATGTGGCCACTTGCAGCCCCTCACGCATCGCCCCCCTCTACAGCTCAGGTGTGGTGAGGGGCTGGACCTTCTGCAGCCTGTAACCTTTTGGGAGGAAATGGGGAGATGGGAAAGGGGGTCACGTCCCCGGGGCCTGATGATTTTAAGGGGCTGCTGAGCTTGGCTGCTGTTACCACAGCCATGGCTAGAGCCCCAGGCCCCTGGAAAGTTGCCCCAGGGCCTGGTGATTCAAAGGGGCCACGGCTCCTAGACACCTGCCTCAGGCCCTTTCAATCACTGCTGGGATGCCACATGCTCCGTGCAGTTATGAGGGCTGGGGGGTGAAGCTGGCTGCTCCGGCCCTGCCCCTTCTGGGGCGCAGAGCCAGCCTCCCCCCCACATACCCTGCCCAGGGCCAACGGAGGCCGTCGGCTTCCCTGGATATGGCATGCCTTACACACGCACGTGGCTGGCTCGCTCATGCTGCTCCTCCTCACGCTGGTCTCGACATGCTGCTCTGAAGAGAGCTGCAGCCTAGCCTAGGGCCTGTGATTCTTATGGGGGTAAGAGGGAAGTTGGGGTGGAGTCCAAACTCCTCCCGGCCATATAAGGGCTGGCTACAGTCCAGTCCAAAGCGTTTAAACAAGAGCGAAAGTCCCACACCATTGTTGTAAGCTTGTGGCTCGGCTAATGCTGCAAGGAGAAGGGCTTTATTTTTAACCAGTTGAAATACTGTGAAAAAGGTTTCACACCTCTCTGCCTGCCTCCGCAAGGCCTTCTGATTGTTTTGCCGGTTTAATGAGTCCGTGGGCTTCCTCGTCCCTGCTTCAGCAGTGTGTTTACTGGTGCAGCTCCCTTTCCACTCTGACCTGCAGAGGTGCAGATGCTGAGGCTTCGAGTCGCTCACAAACCAGCTCGCCACAGAGGCCTGCAGCTTTGCTCTTGACTGAACCAGATCCTGCCTCTGCTGATGAGAGCATCTTCCGGTGATGTTGAGCAGCAAACGCTCAGGCTTGTGCCCTAGTATGACGAATGGATTAATCTCACCCAGCCTCCTTTTTCTCCTGCAGGGTGCAGCGTTAAAATACTTACCAAGCATCATCAATGATCTCAAATTGGTATTTGATCCGGTTGAACTCAGGTGATTGCGTTAAGTGTGTTTGTTTTCTAAATCTACTTACCGTGCATCTTTTGGGGGAGTGTTGGAAATTGCCCTACAGCATGCCACTGCAGTAATTAATTGTGGCAAACTACGTGAATTTATTTGGGCATTTTCCTTTGAAGCGTTTAGAGGAAGCCGCATCATGGTCTTAGCCAGGCATGTCCAAAGTCCGGCCCGCGGGCCAATTGCGGCCCGTGTTCCGGTTTAATACGGCCCCACAGGTAATTTGGCAATATCTATCTTTTATGGCCCCCAATTAATCCATATGTATTGAGATGAATACATTGTAAAATCTCAGTTAATGTCAGTTGGTCTAAATCAGTTAGAAATATATTTGGACACAACATGTATACTTGGTGTTATGTTCCTGTTCATATTTTTTGAACTTAAAAGTTGACAGACAACCTTTATTACCAATAATATGTAATGTACTTTACAATGTTCCTGACATATATTTCAGCTTCCAGGCTTTTTTTTTCATCTGGCCTTCAGATATGAAAGGCAGAGTGATTTAACACCTGTTTAGATTTGTCATCCATGTGACGAAATGAAAAGTATGCCGTTTGCAATAAACTTTGCATAAAATAGTTAATTTGAATTTAATTTTAATGGTTCAAAGAATGTCAGGCAAAATGGTCGGCCCTCACGCATGTTCACTTCATCAAATCTGGCCCTCTTTGAAAAAAGTTTGGACACCCCTGGTCTTAGCGCTGCAGTCCAAAGGAATTAGTGTTTCAACTGAATTTTCCTGAGTTCCTTCCGATTGGAAATTCAAGGATGCAAAGCCCTTGGATGATTAGATCTTGGGCTGCCATGACCCCATGCCTTACAAAAGCCAGAGTGGCAGGATACATACAATTTATTCATGCCCAGAACTTAAAATGTGAATAGCTTTCCCTGTCTTCAGCCGGGAATCTTATTTCAGATGGAAATAACTGGAGATAACAGTCTCAGAGGGGTAGCCATGTTAGTCTGTAACTTTGAAAACAAGAAGTTACAGGTGTCCTGTGGCACCTTCGAGACAAACAAAAAATTTATAGTATCATATACAGTAGTATGAGCTTTTGTGGGCAAAGCCCATTTTTTCACATGAGCTTGAGCAGAGAAAAATAATAGCGAGAGGGTGCCAAATATACGTGGACTCTAATTCGCTCTGGGAGTAAAATGAGTGATTTAATAGGTAGCAGGTTTTAAACAAATAAAAGGAAGTATGTCTTCATGTGAGACACAATCAACCTGTGGAACTCCTTGCCAGAGGATTTTGTGAAGGCCAGGACTTTAACAGGGTTCAAAAAAGAGCTAGATAAATTCATCAATGGCTATTAGCCAGGATGGGCAGGGATAGTGGCCCTAACCTCTGTCTGTTAGAGGCTGGGAATGGGTAAAAGGGGAGGGATCTGTTCCCTCTCTCTGGAGCACCTGGCATTGGCCATTGTCAGCAGACAGGATGCTGGGCTAGATGGACCTTTGGTCTGACCCAGTCTGCCTGTTCTTATGTTCTCCCTTGAAATGGGAGGTATTTAGGGAGGTGATGGAAATGGTCACGTGCCCATGACTCATTGGGCTGGCATTAAGGCACGTCAGTTTCATAACTAAAGGCACAGCAGGGAACAATTAGCCAGAACCCTGTCTGGCCATCCGCCCTAACCTGATGGATCAAGCACCCATGGTGCAGTGGGGTGAACGGGAAGTGGCCTTGCAGTGTGAGACTTCAGTGCCAAACCTTCTGGATTGGAGTCAAGCATGTAACCCCCAGCTGTTATCTTGCAGCCTGGCAAAATTCTGTTTGCTCAGGGCGATTTCATTTCATTTTTATTTCTGAGCAGGGTAAGGAAGGGCGAAGAGATTCCAAGCCTGGGCTGGTGAATTTTCATGGCAGCTTATCACATGAGGGTAATTAGCTGTCAGGTAGCACCCTGCTGATTCTGGTCGCCGTTCAGTTTCTTGAAAGTTCTTTAATAAGCTTCCTGAAGCCCATATGGCATGGAGCTTCATACTGGTTTACCTTGAGGCTGTTCTCAGCACAATGTCATGGCTGCTTGAGCTGGGGCCATGCAAAGTATTACGTGGAGTGATGCCAAAAGCAGCTTCCGGGTGAAAATACAGATCATCTTTCCCTCTTGTGCTTTGCATTCTAGTGTCCTCTTCAGCAAATTTATCCAGAGCATCCCTGACAACCAGTTAGTTCGGCAGAAACTCAACTGCATGACCAAGATAGTGGACAGTGATCTGTTCAAACAATCCGGTGAGTCGCCCCTTGAGATCTCCAACGACTGCAGGAAATGCACCTTCTCAAACAAATACTTGCCTGTAAAGTTCACGTCTCTCTCTTAAATTTCTCCCTCAAATCCCTCCTTCAAATTCTCCTTTGCTGTGATGCCTGCAAAAAAAACCTGGCAACAACGAGGTGATTGGTGTGCTTTGGGCACTACCTGTAGGCCGACCAGTGCTGTCTCATTGGGGATGGGGTGGAGGGAGTACTTGGATCAGGGGTGGGCAATAATTTTTTTTACGAGGGGCCACTTCAGAAATTTTTGAAGTGGCCCTGGGCCACACGGGATGGGGCAGGGCCAGGATACTTCCTTATCCACAGACCATGATTGGTCTGGCAGTGGGGGAGCGTGTGAAGTCTTCTCTCCCTCCCCCCCACCCAAAAAAAGGTTCCCTCTAGGCGCCCATGCCTCTGGCTGCAGGAGGAGACTTCGCATACTCCCCCTTCTGCCCCCAGACCAATCAGGGCTTGGGGGCAGGGGGAACATGCAAAGACTCTTCCCACCCTGCCAGGAACATGTGGTGCTTCTCAGTGCCACATGCTTCTGGCAAGGCAGAGAAAACTGTGTGTGCTTCCCCTTGCCCCCAGACCTTGATTGGCTTGTGGGCGGTGGAGCACCAGGGCTTCTGCGGGCCAGTTCAACCCACTTGGCGAGCCGGATTCAGCTCATGGAGGCCCTTTTGCCCAACCCTGACTCAGACTCAGGGATCAACTTTATGTTCGGTTTGTGCAGCCCTGGGCACACGGGGATTCTGGTCTGTGGCTGAAGTTTTTAAGCCAGCGATGGGCAACCAAGATTAGTGAGTGGGCCACATAAGTAGGCCTCCTTCATCTCAGTGGGCTGCATGATTGCCAGGGGTGGGCAACCCACGGCCCATGATACTCACCTGCGGCCCACACACCGTCTGCCCCCTTCCCCCACGCCTCGTGCACTGGAGCCCTGCATTTCCTACTCCTCCCCCTCGCTCTCAGCACTTACAGCGCTCCATGAATCCGCTGATTTGCCTTCCGTCCCTGCTCCTCCCTTTCCCTCTAACAGCTTGCACAGCCACGAACAGCTGTTTCCCTAAGTCTAGCAAAGAGCGGCAGCTAGAAGGTGGTGAGATAATGGATCGCTTACATTGGGCACATGGAGTCAATCCCTAAGAGCATCACGAAGGACCATGTACCATAACTCCGTGCTTCTGTATGTCACAAAGAGTACTGTGTTTTCTCCAGGACTGCAGAACACAGATGCAAATACAGGATGAACCTCTCAACTCTGGCACTCTCTGCTCCAGTAACATCTGTGGCCTGCCATGATCGGTCCTGCTTTGGTTGGGATTGGTCCTGCTTTGGCAGGGGTTGGACTTGATGACCTCCTGAGGTCTCTTCCAGCCCTAGGATTCTATGATTTTTAGTTAGCCGGAAGTCCTCTTACCGTGGGTGTGACCAAGTTTCCCACAGTTCCATAAAGTTTATGTACAGCCACCAGTCCTGGCTCTCAGGGTACGTCTAAACTACATGGCTCCATCGACGGAGCCACGTAGATTTGTTGTTTTCGCAAAGTCAAATGAAGCCGCGATTTAAATGATCGCGGCTTCATTTAAATTTACATGGCTGCCGCGCTGAGCCGACAAACAGCTGATCAGCTGTTTGTCCCACAGTTCCATAAAGTTTATGTACAGCCACCAGTCCTGGCTCTCAGGGTACGTCTAAACTACATGGCTCCATCGACGGAGCCACGTAGATTTGTTGTTTTCGCAAAGTCAAATGAAGCCGCGATTTAAATGATCGCGGCTTCATTTAAATTTACATGGCTGCCGCGCTGAGCCGACAAACAGCTGATCAGCTGTTTGT